AGTTGGCAGTTGTCCGGGGGGCAGTTGTCCAGAGGGGCAGTATAGCCTGATACCCACAAACATACATTATTCTTAAGAACGATGAAATGTTAAATGCCATTTTTTGGCAAACTGAACCAAAGTTAAGAATATGTTCAGGGTATTCAGTAAGTGAGTATAGTATCATGCTGTTTTAGCAATATTCCAGCAACATCATGGCTGGGGAAACGGGTTATACATAATGTAACCATATGGGGAATCGATGAGTCTTCGGTGTGGCGAGCCGATCAACCGATTCCAATTTTCATGCTTTCAAAGTTGGAGTTATGTTTCCCTTTAGTACCTGTGAACATCCGGGTTAGAACTGGTCGTCAGCAACCGATGCTTGTCTTAAGTGAGTGAGTTCAGTTTTACGCCGCTTATAACAATATTCCAGCTATATCATGGCAGGGGACACCAGAAATGGGCTTCACACATTGTACCTATGTGGGGAATCGAACCTGGGTCTTCGGCGTGATGAGCAAACGCTTTAACCACTAGGCTACCCCACCGCCCCGCTTGTATTAAGAGGTGGTCAGGCTCGCTGACTTGGCTGACACAAGTCATTGGATGAAAATTGCGTAAATCAATGGTCATGCTGTTGATCACTGGATTGCCTTGTCCAGACTCGATTATTTACAGACTGATGAGTGGAGCGGTGGGGTAGCCTAGTTGTTAAAGTGTTCACTTGTCACACCGAAGACCTGGGTTTGATTCCCCACATGGACACATTGTGTGAAGCCCATTTCTGGAATATTGCTAAAGCAGTGTCAACCATACTCACTCACAACAGACTAACGTCACACAGCTAGATTATTGCCGAGTGAGGTATTAAACAACAAAGTATCACTTTAATTCACATGTCAACCATGCACACCCCTCTCTACCCTCAACTCAATGTCTGCATGTACTCAGAGTTACTTTATCAGGACTTGTCCCGTAGACCTGCTAACATACCTGTTTCAGATTTCCCCACAGCCAGTGAATGGGGTAATGTTGAAACTTGTCATCCAGCGCCGTGTGCCATTTCTGTAGTTTCCGGAGAACAGGAAGTACTTTGAAGACGAAGACGCTGATCACCAGTGCAATCAGGAACACCCCAACAATTCCAAACGCTATCATCGTTGCATGTGTACAATGTCAACGTGTCGGTCTCCTGCCACCGTTTAGTGTCCAGTGTGAATATGACGAACGTGTTATTTTTACCTATAACTCATACCCGTAAGACTGAGCTTGAATTGTTATCGACGGGGCTGACCCGACAATGCTCTCGCTCAATGAGGCTCTACATTGATGGTACACACAGAGCGTATTTTCGTATTGTGGTGCGCGAAAATCGTGATGACACTCCTATTCCGAAGCAACGCTGAGTGAGTGAGTGAGTGCGTGTGGTTTTACGCCGCTTTTAGCAATATTCCAGCAATATCATGGCGGCGAACACCAGAAATGGGCTTCGCACATTGTACCCACGAGGAGAATCGAACCCTGGTCTTCAGCGTGACGAGCGGATGCTTTGACCATTAGGCTACCGCCCCGTCCCTGATCAATGCCACATATTATCAACACGAGTCGACAAAAAGTTTGCCATGGGGTGCAAAGACATCATGATATTCACCATACAAAATGGGGGTGTGGGGTAGCCTAGTGGTTAAAGGGTTCGCTCGTCACGTCGAAGACCCAGGTTCGATAACTTACATGGGTACAATGTGTGAAGCCCATTCTTGTGTCCCCCGCCGTGATATTGCTGGAATATTGCTAAAAGCGGGGTAAAACCAACCTCACTCACTCACCCATTCAAAATCAGTCTTCAAAGTCGTTTTTCTGTTTGGGATTTTTTAAAGTGCAATTTTGAATGTTGAGAATATAAAAGAACATAAGCTATAGCGGCATGGAGATGAGTGATTGTTGCGTCATGGTAAAAGGTGACGTCACAATGGTCTGGAAATTATTGTGGTCGTATTCATTGCAGGAATAATCTTCTCGAATGTAAAACATAAGAGATATATTATACGTTGTATGCTTCCCTCGAGGGTAATACGGTCTGATGTACGCCTCTTTGTAGCAGTGTCACCCGAGCCAGTACAACGTATTTATCTTACCGCCATGTTAAATGTACAAAACCTCATTTTATTTAAGATCGCGACGGACTATATGACATGTAAACAAAATGGCGTCTGCCTCTCGACTGGATTTTTAAAATCAGTGAAACATATTCTGACAAGCTTAAAACAGCTATAAATTATTATGTTTAAGTTGAGTGTGCAAACCACTCAATGAATAAAATAGCTTAAATAAAGCAGTGTAAGTCGGTAAAATAAATCTGTACAAAGTGACCCGCTTCAGTTCGCCTACGGGTCAAGGAGAGGAGTTGTTGATGCCACACTGTCACTCCTGAATAATGTCTATAAACATCTAGAGACACCTAAGTCATACATCAGGATCCTCTTCGTTGACTTTTCATCTGCACGATCGCAAATAACATGTAAATATGTTCTACCACTGCACGACAAATTAAAAAGATCGGTTGATCGTTGCCGCTTCTAACAGGAACGATGTCTTGGAGTGAATGAGTTTAGTTTTACGCCGCACTCAGCAATATTCCAGCTATATGGCGGCGGTCTGTAAATAATCGAGTCCGGACCAGACAATCCGGGGATCAACAGCATGAACATCGATCTACGCAATTGGGATACGATGACATGTGTGATGACCGCCCGATCCCGTTAGTCGTCTCTTACGACAAGCATGAGTTACTGAAGATCAATTCTAACCCAGGTTTTCATGGGTACATCTTGGAGTAATGTGACGGCATAGGTACCAAGTGGACGTCGGACATGCTCTGTGAAGCTCCAGTCTCCCCCCCCCTCATGACAGTTTCTTAAACAAATTTTTATTTATGTGACACAAATTATGCAATTTGTTTCTAGAGTTAGTTTGTTGTTTATATTGCAATCCGCGTTGGTTTGATTCTTTTATGTCGATTTGTTTTTGTTTTAGATTGCAATTCATCGGTATCATTCCGTCTCAAACGGACTGTAATCGAGTTAAAAATTCAGATCAATATTCAGGCTGTCGCTTTTAATCATTTTATCAATGTACAGCTACACACTGACAATTATCGCCATCCTCGATAATCTCCAGGGGGGCATGTTCCCATTTCGCCTACATCCCATTTCGCCTACAGTCTTACAACAACAATTCATAGTCTGGTGACTGGTATTTCATGCATGATATAAATGGAATCTCCCCTAGTTTTCCTTTAATTTGATTAATAGCACATGTAGACAACATGGCTTTTTGCATTAAAATAAAAAAATTGTTCTTCTTTCATGTTTTTTATTCACAGCAAATTATAGTACAATATAATACAATAATCAAAATAACACTGGCTGTTAACTAGTACACTGTACTTGAGTTTATGGATGTCTGAGTTTACTGAAGCTTCAATAAGTGACCTGCTGCGTCCAGGAGCTGAATAGGTGATCTTCTTCCACTTTCAAGTTGTTGTGGATTCAATGTTCTTGATAGCTGTTATGAATTCATAAATGTTCGGATGGTGCTTTCCCACAAGTTTTTTTCAGACCATTATGGTGCTGCATCTTCCTTTCCTGGATCACACACTTCCAGTGTGTAGCAACAAAATGATTAATATTTGTTTATGATCACAAACTGTTGTAAGTATGTCACTGCTACTTTTGATCTTCATAGCCGTAATCCTTAAGCCAATTGCTTATATAAACACAGATTATAAGTTGACTCCATTTAAAGACAATGATATACTTATCTTTTTACTCATACATTGTGAAACTGACCTTCCTTAATTCCACTAAGTCAAGTCCATTCTCTCAATAGGGGTGCATTTTCTATTCCCTATTCGCCTACATGTTTACTGTAGGCGAAATGGGATGTAGGCGAAATGAGACTCAACCTCAAGGGGATACGTTACGATTAATCTCTATAGTGGAGATTAATCGTAACGTACCCTGGGAGATTATCGAGGATGCAGACAGACAGATATTTTATTTCAGTCTCACCTCACATAAAATACATATATAAATATATTTATAAAATATAGCATATAAGTGAGCCACCCTTTAAGGGTTATGAGAGACTAATGTATTAATACATTATAAATACTAAATGCTAAATAATTATATAGGTACAAACAGTGTAAAATCTATCCGTATAAAATATGTTTTCTTCTTTGCAAGATATAAAAGCAGGTTTTGGCACTGAAATATACATGGTGTTTAAAAAGTAAAACTAATTTATCATCATCACAAAGATCTAAGAAGTTGGGATAGCTAAAACAGACATTTTCATATAAACTTTCACGCAAATCATCATACATAGGGCAATACAACATTAGCAGGCTTCCTTCCATTGTTGGAATAACAACATCGTCACTGAGGATCCCGGGCGCATATGGTTTTCACATGTGCTACTTACCTGTAACAACTGTCTGTCGTGGGAGGAATTGCTTAGAAAACACCATGTTATCACCTGTCAACTCAAAATTAACTCAAAGGGTGTTTTATCCTATGGGTGAAATGTTGCAAGGGCTTTTTGTCATGGGGCATTTAGCCTAGGGTTGTTTTGTCCGAGGGCTTTTTGTCTGAGTGGACCTATTGTCTGCCCACCATCATATTAAACGTGCAGTTTTACACACGCACGCACGCACGCACGCACGCACGCACGCACACACACGCGTACATACATACGCAGCCTTTAACAACAGAAATAGTGGTCACCTAAAACCTCAGATTTAGACCCACTTAAATAATTCATTTTAGATTCAACCATCTATGGTTCAAGTTTATAATTCATATTGGAAAAATACGTGTTTGGAAACATATAAGTTTCATCTGATCTTATCAGATAGAAAATATACAAATCTATATTTAGAATGTTCTTCGCGGGTTCGAACATGTTCTCTCTAAGTTCCGGAAACAAATTTGCCATAGCGAATCTTTTTAGAGTGACGTCCCTTTGTACACTCATTTCCTACAGCTTGGCAGTGGACATGCTGAGATCGACAACAGACATGAAAGATTCGCTCGATTATTCAGGTGATGTCAGACACGTGGTGGCTGGTGAGTATCTGTTATTCTTTTCTCTAATATTCGATTTCGTGATACAAAATAACTGTACTTGCTCTTAATCCAAATAATACGACCAAAATAACAAAATCAGTCTAACGATGTTGATAAACTGACAGTGACACGATTATTAATAATAATTGCACTGATGATCCGTGTAATGGCTAAATAGAACTTTCAGAAAAATTGTTTCCATTCTATGTCCAAAACACCTGAAATTAATGCTGATTTGTTTAGGATAATACGTTGGCCGTGAAATCATGTGGATTACGAAGTGCTGCATTTACTTTTTGTTGTTTATTTTTGGGTTATTTTTGTTTATATTGTGCATGAACTGAAACCAGGTGTGAATAGAATCCTGTTTCAAGTGTGCAGTGCTTGTTACAGGAATGGGTATTGGTTGGCCATGTCCGATTAGCCTGTATTTGAACTAGTATCCAAGTCTTGTGTGTGACCTACCATGGTTGGTGTGTCATCTTATCAACAGGCATGGTAATGTGTTCAAGGTTCAAAATAACCTATTTATTATATACCCATGTAAACTTAGGATAGTATTACAGGGGTGCAATACGGATGACGTGGTCAAAGTCCGTATTGCACCCCAGATTCCGTTTTCAACCCCTGCCGGTTCTACATTGCTCTACGCTATGATTTGTTTTATTAAGTAACAGATTAATGCAAGATAAGGGGGTATATAATAAATATAGAACATCATACTAGCGCATTTGGATGTTTTGTATTGAACGAGAAGATGTCATGGGAGCTGAGAAACAACTCGTTCTTCGAACTCTCGTTTCTCTGACGAGAAGATGACGAGAAGATGTCATGGGAGCAGAGAAACAACGAGTTTGAAGATTGAGTTGTTTCTCAGCTCCCATGAAATCTTCTCGTTCAATACAAAACATCCAAATGCACTAGTATGACGTTCTATATATGCATTCACATAAAAATCACAAACAAAACTAAAACTCAACCAAAATCATTTCGAGTTGCAACATACAAATATACATGAAAGAAACAGAAAACCCAGAAGCATAACCGCACCATGCATTATCACCCACTGTGGCTTTCTAGCTGGCGTATTCGTGTCTCTTCAGATATTGTATTATTCATGGAATCATGACATCACATATAGATGAACTCGTGTCTCTTCAGATAATGTATTATTCATGGAATCATGACATCACATATAGATGAACTCGTGTCTCTTCAGATATTGTATTATTCATGGAATCATGACATCACATATAGATGAACTCGTGTCTCTTCAGATATTGTATTATTCATGGAATCATGACATCACATATAGATGAACTCCACTGGTGTAAGTAATGTACCTATACGATGTGCAACATCCTGCTTACAAGTTACATACATATTACAGTTAGAGTTATGGGATGAAGTGAATAAGGTTTTGTGCTGCTTTTAGCAATATTCTAGCAATTTCACAGCAGGGGACACCAGAAATGGGCTTCACACTTTGTACCTTTGTGTTGAATTGAACCCCAGTCTTTTAGCGTAATGGGGTGGTGGGTTAGCTTAATGGTTTAGGCTGGGTTCGATTTCCCCACATGGGCACAATGTGTGATGCCCATTTCTGGTGTCCCTCATCGTGATATTGCTTGAATATTGCCAAAAGTGATGTAAAACCCAACTCATTCACTCATGGCAGTGTAATGAACGAATGCTTTAATCGTGCAGCTACCTCATCAGCCCTATAGGTAATGTGATATGTGTCACACATGGGTGCAGTTAACTGGTACCCATCAGTTAACTAAACCCATCTGTGGACCCATGGGTGAAGAGTGTAAAAATGTATAAACTACCCCCCCAAAAAACTATCAATACCCAATGGGTACACCATTGTTCCCCTTACCATACCTATTGGTCAGTTTAACTTGCATTGAAATACTCATTTCTAATCGGTTTCCAGATTACTCAATGGACATTTTTACACAAAGTACCCCGGGTGACAGAGGTTTAAATTTTATCTACCTCTCTAGGAAATGCTGATTTTTTGACAATATGACCAGAAATAATGATTATGTTAAAATATATTTATTTCCTGTTGTTTTCAACAGGATCAGTGTAAACATGATAAGGAAATTAAAATACTGTTAGTTAATCTATCAAAAAATTATCTCAAAACTGCTCACACTGTTAATTTTGTTAAAAAATCCCTACCTACATAGCATTTTGTGAAAATATCACAAAAAATATCTGAGATGTCCCATAAACTCTTTCTCTATAAATAAACTCTATAAATATCTGTAATATAATATATCAGTACTAATATAAAAAAAGTAATGGTTGCAAGAGCTGGGTATCTAGGATAAAGCATACATTAGAAGTATATGGATTTGGATTTGTTTGGCAAGAACAGATGGTTCGAAGTGAAACGCTATTTGTAAATGAATATATAGGTAGACTCAAAGTTTCGTATCAACAAGACTGGAATTCTGCAATAATAAAAGGCACAAAAACATTTGGATATTCGTCGTTTAAACCTATGTTCAGGTGTTCAGGGGTGGAAATAACCCATTGCCCGTCGCCCGAGTCCAGTGTTTTTTTCTGTCGGGCAAGCAAATTAGTATATCACACTGTACCCGTGTCCAGTTGATATTCCAATGTTAATTATGTTGTTTATTTAAAAAATCAACAAGAAAACGGCCGGAATAGTGGAAAAATTATCAGGGCAAGTGATTTTACATGTGCCACTGTACCGGAGTACACTAGCAATTTTCAAGTTATTTCCACCCCTGGGTGTTGAATCTTATATCTTCATGGTTAGCTATTCTAAACATAGACATGCTCTTGTTCAGTTTAGATCGGGGTCTCATAAACTAAGAATAGAAACTGGCAGGTATATTGGTGAGGTTAGAAATGACAGATTATGTAATATCTGTAAACTGACATATATAGAAGATGAATATCACTTCTTACATATTTGTAATAAATATCAAGCATTGCGGTGGCTGTACATCCCTTTACACTTTTATGAATATCCAACAATCCAAAAATTTAATACGGTTCTGCAAGCATCAAATGCAAGCATCAAATTCAAGCATCTCAAAACATTTATCAGCATTTATACATGTATATCAAGCTATGTTACTGAGACAGTCTTCATTATAACATACTTTCTCACTCTGTAATTCAAAAAGTGTATCCCGGGCCTATGGCCTATATTACTTTTCTGAAATAAACCACCTAAACCAGTCTAGATTTTGACAAAAATATCTTTACGAAAATACCCTTAACACCATCCAGCTGACAGTGGCTAATCTATTAAATGCATCAAACAGTTTATACAAATCATAAACACAAACAGTTTATACAAATCATAAACACAAGCAATTGATACAAATCACTCAGCATCTGCAACTTGATGACCTTTAGGAATAACGTGTGAGCGAGTGCAAATTCATACTGAATACAGAAAGATAGGTGACCATATGATGTATGGCACACAGCAGGGTTATGTACTACTTCCCTTCTCTTCTTGTAAGGGTTTTGGTGTTGTTAAGAAGTCATGTAGGTTGTACAAGAATATCAAATGCTGATCTGTCTGTTATTTGCAGTCAAGAAGATTAATTCACTTTGACAAGGCAGTCATATCAGGTAAGAACTTGTTCTGTTCCTTTTCTTCTTTTAATATGTTTTTGTGTTTTATTGAAAAAGCTAAAGTTTGGTGTTGTTTGTGTTAGCTAGTGTTGGGAATTGGTTGAAATCTCACAATTGATGATTGCTTCATTACCAATGAACAATCATCGACAAAAATTGGTTAGCGTCATTTTTCAGATTTTCCTATCCAGGTTGTTATTGCAGATATGTATAACATGATGCAGCTTGCTACTTTAAAGTGATGACTAATATATCATGAACATAAATTTCCCGGGGTCTTCAAGAAATATTCAGTCATGGTTTTTCAGTTAGTGAAGTGAGTTTTCTAAGAATTAAACACATTTTCAGGCCCTGACAACTTCAACGATATGATCCATTGTCAAGTATTTCAAAGACTAAAACAGTAGTTCCAAAATCGTTATGTGATCGATTGCTTGTTCGTTTGGTCACTGCGACCAATCTTCGATTATTTGAATTAATCGGAACACCACTAGTGTTAGCAAAGATGTACCAGGACTTATCTGTTGTTGCATCCTGGGAAGTTGCATTTATGTTATATATGTGAGTACACTCTCTCGGTAAAGTATGGATTCTTGTACTTTGGGGTTTTGAGTCCCATCTGGGATTTATGCCCACAATTCCAGAGTCAGGCACCTAATTGCCAGCACACAAGTCAACTATGGATACAAACTCCTTATCATGAAAACAGGTTCTAGTCTTATATCTCTTGCCAAATGATATTTGTCAATGAACTTAACAAAATGTTGTGCACATGTATACAGCATTGCACATTCTTTGAAGCCCATTGATATTTTGACAGGTTATTTCCTTGTTTGACACAATCTCTCTGATCTTGTGATGAAAATTAAAATGGGCAGTCTGAACTTTGTCATAAGAATAGAAATGTGATTTAAATACAACTAGCTTGCTACAAATCGACAAGTCTTATCGATTCAAACAGAAAAATAATTTTATTGGACTCACTGTTCTCAGACGAACTGAATATTTCCAGAAAAGTAATCAACTAAACAAGTATAACATGAATACATGACACTTTTATGGATAACAACTTTTATTCTTTACGACGTTTCAGAGCTAATTCTTGCTCCTTCATCAGGTGAATGATGGAGCATTCACCTGATGAAGGGGCAAGAATTAGCTCTGAAGCGTCGTGTAAAGAATAAAAAGAAGTTGTTATCCTTAAAAGTGTCATATATTTATGTTCGTCCAACTTCTAAATGCCTTTCAAAAACTTTGGGTATAACTTACCTGTCAGCTGATCACCACATGGGTATAATGTGTGAAGCCCATTTCTGGTGTCCCCAGCCATAATGTTGCTGGAATATTGCTAAAGGCGGCGTAAAACCAAACTCAGTCAGTCAGTCAGCTATGTAATCAAGTAAGTAGAGAAGATAAAACTAGGGAGGATTTACAAGGTTCATCGGTTACTTGTATTGCATGCTTCAATTCTCAATTTCTCTGTGTTAGTTCAGTATAGTTTTCTTCTGGTAAATGTCATCACATTGAATTTCTAAATCATTATTTGAAAAGGAAGATGATGTCACAGATCATTAAAAAAAATTCTACTTGTAGAACCATTGGGGATTCTGGGTAAGAAATAGTCCCAGCGATCTATGATGATGATAAGAGACAACTAAATTGATCTATTGTCAATCTTGTGTAGATAGCTGGTCATCGCGTCTCAGTTCATTGGATTGATGATTCATGGTGTCAATCACAGGATTGTCTGGTTCAGCCTTGACTGTGTACATAGTTAAGGACCACCCCAATATTCAATATTTAAGTACTATATGGATCATGATATGAACTACTAAATACTAAAATATTGATAACTGGGGTGGTCTTTTTTGTTGAGTGAGTGAGTTTAGTTTTACGCCGCACTCAGCAATATTCCAGCTATATGACGGCGGTCTGTAAATAATCTGGACCAGACAATCCAGTGATCAACAGCATGAGCATGGAACTGCACAATTGGGAATCGATGACATGTCAACCAAGTCAGTGAGCCTGACCACCCGATTCTGTTACTCGCCTCTTATGACAAGAGTGGGTTACTGAAGATCAATATTATGACCCGGATCTTCATGGGTATTTTCTGATGAGTATGTCGGAATATTAACAAACTAACAAATAGAGAGACAAGACTATTTGAAGACATGTTATGTTAAATTATATTCTCCATAGATGTCAGACATTTGATTGCCCCGTGTATTCTATCATCAGTCTGTTATTAGAAGGACCCTTGGTCCATTGTCTACCATGTTTAAGTGGCACAATACTATATTAAGCATGTTTTGCCATCAAATATCAAATTTCATTAAAGCCAGACCTTAGTTCTTGTTGCTGCTGAACAAAGATCAGGGGATCTCAATTTACAGGTCACATGAGAATGACCTTTCGCTAATTTTGACTAACCGATGAATGACTAGGAAGAAGTCCAGATAAGCCATTAAGAAAGCAACTTTATATATGCACAAAGAACTTAATTAAGCACCCTCTGTATTTTCGCAATGATAGGTTTTCAACATGTACATGAAACTTCTCGTTGTGGCGTCGACGAATCACAAGTTTTTCTGACCCGACTGATCCTTGACTCATAAAAAACGACAAAATGATTGGAATCCATGTTGACTTTAGGATGATAATGCCTCTTTTTGGAAAAACCCATTCAAAACCATGTCTGTACAAGTATGGCCCTTGAGTGTTTAATGTTGAATTTATTGGTGAATGTGAACATTCAAAATGTCATTTTGCTTGTCTTACACGATTCAAGGTCAATACCAGGTGTAACTTCCATGTAACTGTATAACAGTGAGCACTCTCCTCCTCATACCCACTGTCAGCCTCCTGATCCTCTGAAAGGGCAGTCTATGCTATTCCTCATGTAAAGCAGCTTCCAATTGGGCAATGTTCGGTACAGGAGGATCCCTTTGTTGCACATGACGACCAATCATGTCCCAGATATGCGCCAAAGGGTTAAGATCGGGGCTCATTATATCGTGAGATATGTCAAGGGGTGCTCAAGCTAAGTTCTTTGTGCATAACTGTCTTACATCACTCGGAACTAGTTTCAAACAGGTGACTTCCATTCCAGTCTCCACTTTGGAATATCTTTGGACAGAGTTCTGGAAGCTAAATTTGAAAACTGAACACAACAAAATTCTAGAATATCTTGTTGATGACCGAAATCCGTTGGCTGTGCTTTCCACACAATGAAAATGTCTCTTCCTTTGAAATTCCAGTGAAATGAGAGAAAACGGTATAAGCATCTATACTGAAACTTCGCTATTGTACAATAAAGAAGTTGATCATCCATAAACACTTGTCATTCCCATTGCTTCTAGAATGCTTCACAAACAGTTCAAATAAGAGATAGACAATGATTTTGATGGAATCTGTCTTACAGCCTGTAACTTTGTATGTGTGTCACATTCCGACTCACAATGTATTCAATTTCTTCCAGAGTCACTGAAGTCAAAGTCCACTGAGCTGATGAACAAAGTGCACTGACAAGAAAATGACATCCCTCCTTTCTTATGTTCTATCTGTCCTGAAAAAGAGACCCCCACCCAGACCAAGCAAACACAACCTCCCTCAACCCCGGGTCTGCCATCTTGAACTGGGAGCAGACGTCATTCGGGACAGGAAGGTCTTCGTAATCGGTGACGTTCATGGCTGCTATGATGAACTGTGTGAACTGATAGACAAGGCTGAACAGAGAGAGCCAAATATTCTGTGTGTATTTGTTGGAGATCTCATCAACAAAGGTCCAAAGAGCAAAGAAGTGCTAGAACTAGTTCAGAGCATGGAGTGCTACTCGGTACGTGGTAACCATGACGACGTGGTCCTCCATGAATACTACAAATCCATTGGGGACCCAAATTACGCCATGAAGGAAAAAAACAAATGGATCAAGGACCTGCCTTGGACAGATTTTGAATATTTAAAAGACCTACCGTACACGATATCCATTCCAAGTTTGAATGCAACCATAGTTCACGCTGGACTCATTCCTGGCTGGGGATTTGAAGGGCAGGACTTCATAGCTATGACTCACATGAGGAATATAGAACAGTTTTATACTATATTTCACGGTTCATGTCCAATCCTCATCCCATCAGAGAGTTCGAACGACGGAGTACCCTGGGCCTCGTTGTGGCCAGGCCCTGATCATGTGTACTTCGGTCATGATGCGGTGCGTGGTCTTCAGACGTATCCATACGACACAGGTCTTGACACTGGTTGTGTGTATGGGAAGTCCTTGACGGGTATATTCCTGGATGGAACGAGAGAGTTTATATCAGTGACATCCAAACAGCCAGACATGTTTAAAAAAGCTGATTAAAGATCTGAGACTTTGTTTGTGTTCGTTTTATATTTTTCAACATGATTGTGCCTTTTGACGCATGTTGTTATTTTGTTATTTCTTTGTCTGTTTGGATTTCATGAACAGGTTTAGTTATAATAAAAAAATTGGTTATGATATTGTCTTGGACTAGTTGTCTGGCACCTTTTTCATAGAGATTATTAGCCGAGAGTGTTCTGGTATCGTAATCTGTGAACAGTAAACTATAAGGAACATGATTACACCAAACAGTTGCTTGTTATATGTTATTGTCGAAAAGTGTGTATGAAACTATGGTCACAAGGAACTAAGATTAATAAGGTCACTTTGACTTTGTGTTTATCCCCCGCCACGCGTTTAGCGCGAAGCTGGGGATATAGCATTTGGCTCCATCCGTCCGTCCATACGTACGAATTGGAATATCTTAAGAACCGTTCTCTAGATTCTTTTCATATTTGGTACCTAGGTTCATCACAGTATAAGAAAGGTCCAAGGCAGGTTTGGTGACCTTGACCTTCATTTCAAGGTCACAAGGGGACTTTCACGTTTTACCTGCATGTTAAGCTATCTCAAGAACTGTTAACTGGATTTTCTTCATATTCAATACAAAGCTTTATCTAGGGAAGGCGCAGGGACCAGGCGATTTTGGTGACATTCACATAATTTTCAAGGTCATGGCGACACTTTGAAGATTTCAGCATGTAAACCTGCATGTTAAGCTATCTCAAGAACAGTTCACTGGATTGTCTTCATATTTGAAACCAAGCTTCATCCAGGGAAGGCACAGGGCCCAGTTGATTTTTGGTCGACTTAATTTTCAAGGTCACAGCGACACTTTGAAGATTTCAGCATGTTAACCTGAATTGTCAGCAAGATATTTCAAGAACGGTTCACTGGATTCTCTTCAGACTTTCAAGACTTCCCTTAATTGTTTTCAATAAGCAATTTCTTTAGTACTATTTTTGCATATTTCATACACTATGACATTCATGTCAAGGTCAAAGTCAGTCTTGAAAATATGTGTGTGTTGGAACACCTAAAGAGCAAGATATCAAGAGAGGTTGACTGGTCATGTTTTTGTTGACATTTAACTTAAACTTTCATTACTTTATAAGTTTGATTTGATCATTTTCGGCGGGGGATTATGTCCCCTTAGTGACAATGCTTGTTAACATAGTTTACTGCATGTGCTGTATATATTTCCATATTCCAAATAAGACTTTTCAGTCAGTGTTCTACATGACTACAACTGGGTCTCAAAATGAAAACCCCCTTAAGATCCAAGTTAGAATTGGTCTTGAGCAACCCATGCTTGTCGTATGAGGCGACTAAACGGTTTGGTGGTCAGGCTCGCTGACATGGTTGACTAATGTCATTGTGCCCCACTTGTGAAGACAGATGCTCATGTTGTTGATCACTGGATTGATTACATAATGCCATTTAGAAAGTGGTCAAATGTAACATATGTAATAAATTACAAAATTCTAGTACTATTTTTCGGTTGAATCCCATCTGGGATTTGAACCCACACCCTCAGAGTCAGGCACCTAATCGCCAGGACACAAAGTCAGCCGCCTTACCCGCTCAGCCACCGCAAGTGGTAGTCTAGACTGCGGACTTTGTGTACCCCTCTGAGAAGTGTAAATTGGCACGGCTCCCACGGCCGAAAGCTATGATTACACTGGAATATTGCTGAGTGAGGCATTAAACAACAAACCAAAACAAACCAATGTGAATGGACGTTCATATGCAAGTAACATCTTATGTTCTGGGGTAGTGGGGTAGCCTAGTTGTTAAAGCGTTCGCTCGTCACGCCGAAGACTCGGGTTCGATTCCCCACATGGGTACAATGTGTGAATCCCATTTCTGGTGTCCCCCGCCGTGATATTGCTGGAATATTGCTAAAGGTGGCGTAAAACTAAACTCACTCACTCGCTCTTTTCCAGACTCGATTTTTTCCAGACCGCCGCCATATAGCTGGAATATTGGTGATTGCGGCGTTAAACAAGAAACAAACAAAACATACTACGGATTAGGACTGTTACCAAAAACAATTCTGAAATGTAAAAGATAAGTATGATTGGAACTATATTTGCCGATCTAAAACACTCTAAATCAGTACACACCGGATACATATGCAATTCAGGTTTTAGTCAAACAATGTACCCTCCTTTTGGTAATAGTGCAGTCAGGCCACCATCACCATAAACCGATACCAGCAAACAGGCCAGACCCAAGACCGTCCAAGATCAGGAAGACCAGGAGGACACCGGCTGAAGGCGGCAACGTCAATTGTGCACTAGGACACGCCTTCAGCAGACAAACAGTCCTTCAAGGTCTTGGTATGGTTGGTATACGAGCCTACCGCCCCTTCCGTGGAATGGCCTTGACCCATCTACACCGTCAACGCAGACGACAATGGGCAAGGACTGAACGTCGGTGGCTGCGACATGACCGCGAGTGAGTGCCTTTTGCAGATGAAGGTCGAGTCAGTCTGTTCAGAAACGTTGTCGAGTTTCAGTTTTACGACGTAGAGGAGAGCAACTGGCGCCAAACTGCGTTCAGGAAGTCCACCCGTTCGATGGAGGAGGCGTCCAGGTATAGCGCGGTATTGCGGCCCGAAAACAAGACTGGTTATCATCCGAGGAAATCTGTATGCCCAGTGATACAGGGATGAAGTGTTGAGACCTTTTGTGGTGCCCTTTATTCGGCAACAGCCAAGAGGAGTCATTTTGCAGCACGACAACGCAAGGCCTCACGCCGCCAGAATTGTTAGACAATGCCTGCACAGCGTTAACGTCAACGTATTGCCTTGGCCAGCGCGATCTACGGACATGAACCCCATTGAACATCTCTGGGATCATCTTGATCGTCAGCTAAGACAGCGAGTACCACCTCCAGCGAACCGACAGGAATTTGAACAGACTCTTGTACTTATCGAACAGAATTCCTGCCGACGTCGTGCGCCGACTGACGATGTCAGTGTGGAGACGTCAATGTGTATGTATGCCAAGGGTGGTCACAATCGCTATTGATGACATGTCCCCTAACTGCTGTCTCATTATGTGACTCTTTATGCACATTTTTAATGAACTCTGATTTGTGTATTTTTCTATCTTGACCCCTCGACTACTTCTTGCGGCAAATGTAAGATCTGCATTAGGGACCGTTCATAAGTTATGGCTGGGGTGTGGTAGTGTGGGTGTGTGTGATGATTTTTATGGAGAAGCATGTACAATGTGAATGACACCCACCACCCCCCACCAACCAAAAATAAAAATAAAAAAATAAATGAAATGTATGTACATAATAAGTGACCCCCCTGGATGTCACGTACAAAATCAATGACGCCCCCTTGCTCCCCAGAACAAAATGGGTGTCCCCCCCTTAAAATCGTCATCGCCCCCCTTAGCCATAAATTATGAACGGTCCCCTACAATGGATTTTCATTCAAATTATCGGGAAATGATTTCTGTTTGTAAAATACTTATCATAAATCTCACATACGTCTTTGTTTCTATTTTTGGGCAAGTGAAGTCGGGGATAACTTTCTTTTGCCCGGTAGTGTATTTGTAAATTAACACTATGTATTATGCAGTTCAAGTATTTGGGCCAGTGTTCTTACGTACAATAAACACGTGAATTTGATCCACGGTAACAAAAAACAATTACAGCTCGATATCGTTATGCGACGGGAACAGGGCCAGGGGTTGGCTGCGGTGGCTTCAGTGACGGCAGTTCCTCCACACCAAGGGACATGCCGTGAGATCATTGAAATTGTGCCACGTGACATTAAACCGAACTCAAACACGCTCGCGGGACCGCCTCTTTCATGGACGTGTGTGATATACTTTTATGTTGACATTTATAAAATATATGATGAAAGCTGATATACTCATATCAACAAATAACGATACCCCCAGCTGAGTGATGTGTGTTCACCATGGGGCCAGGGCGACATTTAGTCCCGTCTGACAGCGTGACCCAGTCTATGCCTCACGTGGCTCACTGGTTTATTAAAGTCGCCTGCCGTGATAGGGAACTGTGATGTCTCAATCGTGTTTTCACTTGTGACTTGCCAACTGGTTCACCTGTTTCTAGTTTCTTAAAAACTGCGGTTTACCGGGTCAAGGAAACTCTTAATCGTATCCCGTACAGCCTTTGTCGATCATGCTTTGTGGTTGATAAGATCTCTTTAAGTGTATACCACAGACGTCTCAGTCTCTGCAGAGTAGCGTACCTTAGATGTGTAAGGATACGGTTAATGTGTTCAAACAGTGAGGTTTGAAAATGTAAGGGTATATGGAATATTATTCAACGTCTGCAACCCTGACGAAAGTTTCATTAAAGTGGTGACCGATCATCAGTTTTTCCACATATGCAGTTTAGTGTACGAAAGAATGTCGACCCTAACAAAGACTGACTGACTGACAGAGTTTGGTTTTACGCCGCTTTTAGCAATATTCCAGAAACATCATGGCGGGGGACACCAGAAATGGGCTTCACACATTGTGCCCATGTGGGGATTCGAACCCGGGTCTTCGGCGTGACGAGCCAACGCTTTAACCATAAGGCTAAACCCCCCACCCCCCCAACAAAGTCGTGTTAGACTTTCCGCCGAAATTCACCAAGAATTTAGTTCCATACTGTTCATAGAGCTGTGAATTTTGTATAAATCCAAAGAGTGGTCACCAAATATTTACCTATATACCGTGATATATGTATGTAAAAAAAATTTCAAGTGAATTCTTGGAATTATATATATACTCGCCAACAATGACAGCCTATTTTATTCAGCAACACACAGAACAGGACAGTAATCAGTCACGTACTTCTAGGCTGGGGCGCTGGGATAGCCTAGTGGGTAAAGCGTTCGCTCGTCACGCTGAAGGCCCGGGTTCGATTCTGAACAAGGCTACGTGTGATGCCCATTTCTGGTGTCACCCCGTTGTGATATTGCTAAAATATTGCTATAAGCGGCGTAAAACCATACTCACTCACTACTTCTAGGCAAA